TTGGGCTCATTAAAATGATCTCAGTGCTATGGAAAAAATAGCGTTACGTGCCAAAAATAAAAGTCAGACACACCACATCCACATCCTCGTAAATCTGCAGCGCAATCAGATGAAATTTATGAAATTCCTTTTTTCCTGGGTAATTCATTCCTCTGCTTTCATTTTTTCCTTTGCCTCTTAGTGTGTGTGCGTGTGCGCGTTTGTGTGTGTGTGTGTGTGTGTGTGTGTGGTTTTGCCAATGAATTTACTTTGCCTTATTTTATTTCTCTTTTAGTTTGTCCGCCTGGGCTCTTGTGATATTTTTAATAGCATTTTTCCCCACCAAGGAATGCCGAGCAACGCACATCGATGAGATGGCTGGGACCACAAATAAAACAAAAGTGGAGGGGCAATCTGCGGACGGGGGCGTGTCAGCGTGGCACACGACAAATAAATTTGTCAACAAATGTGGCATCCGCTGGCCAACCATGTTGGTGTTATTGTTGTTGCTGCTGTGCGTGTGTGTGGGTGGATGGGTGGGTGGGGGCGTTTTTATTGGGGGGTGCGGAAAACACACACAACAAACCATATCCGCCGCCAATGTCCACAGATCCTGTGGATGGGGCAGGAGTAATGATGACAGTTGCGCATTAATTTTTTCTCACTAATTAATAAATGTTGCTGTTGTTGGCGCTGGTTTCGGTTGCCGCTGTGTTGCTGATATCTTTTGTGCAGCGAAATGGTTTATTGGCCTATTAGCGCAGCATTTAAATGGCAATCAAGGCGTGGTGGGCAAGGCAGGTAAGCCAAAAGTCACGCAAAGTCACAAATTACCAGCCAGCCAGCCAGCCAGCCAGCCAGTCAGCCGGCCAAAACAGGCGGCAACCGAAACAAATACGAAGACACACAAAAATACAATAACAAACCCAAACCGAAACCGAAACCCAAACCCAAGGAGCACAAGCAGAAATGTCCCTGCAAATTGAAAACGAAAACGAAGGAAATCAATTGAGGTGCAGGGACTGACAATCGATACTGGACTTCCATGGAGGTGTGGTGCGAGTGCGATGGCTCGGTGGTTCAGTGGCTCGATGGTTCGGTGGTTCGGTGGTTCGGTGACTCGGTGGGTCTGGGCCTGAAAACCACACAATCCTTTGTGGGCACGCTCGAAGGACCAGGCAATGGGTGGTTTTGTCACTCGGCCACATCGACACGCCCCAAAGAACCACAGGCAGATGTGCACAGAAAGAAGCACTTGCTCGTATCAAATGTGCACACCTTGACGCAGAAGGGGGTTGGTTTGAAAAGTTACGATAAATATGGGCTTATCCTTCAGCAAATAATATGCGGTCCACAAATAAAAATAAACAATTGGGATTCTATATAGCAGCCAACTTCAATAGTTACAGTAAACATTTAAAATGTGCAACATTTAGTGGGACTTTAGTTTGTCTTCACCTTTGGAAATATGTCAGAGTTCTAACACAAGTGTCACGTCACGTTACACGCATAAGCATGATTTATCATTTAATATCTTTTTTCTCTGTGCACTGACAGCCAGGGAAAAAATGAAAGACGATGAGGGGTGGTGGCAGGTGCTACCAAACAGCATATGCAGAGAAAGGCCGGGAATCAGGATCAGGAGAGCATAGCTGATATATGGAGTATATCCACTCGGTGTTATGCCCGGCAACGTGATTGAAATTTATGACTGGCAAATAAACGCAACAGACACACACGGGGGATGTTGCTGGTTGGAAGTAGCTAGCCAGAATCTGATTCGTGAGCTGAATTCCGGGAGTAGGAAACCCATCCACATTCCCAGCCACAGCCACAGCCACACCCACAGCCACATTGCCATCCTCATCCTTCGGCTTGTGGCAGTCTGGGGGCCCAGTGAGAAATTGCAGTGAATAAAAAGCACTTGTACGCATTAAAACCTAATTGGGAATTTCCATAGTTCATATGCCATTTTCCTAACTGCTGCTTTGAGCAACTGACTGAGTAGCTACGTGTGAGCGACTGTTTCTGGCTGGATTTGTGAGTCCTCGACGGACTATCTGGCTATCTGGATGTGTCTCTGTGGCATGTTCTACATATTTTGGCTTTGCAAAATGTCACACGCAGCCAACGATGTCGCTGGCCCAGCTGCTAAAGTGGATTTTGCGCTCGGCTATGATAAATTGAGGGTTTTCAGCTGGACAACGAGAGTGGCAGCAGACCGAACCCGACCGGACCGGACCGGACCGTAGACCCGTGTATCGTTACCTAAACTCGGATGCTTCAACCCTTAACCTCGCCACCAGCAGCAGCAACAGCAGCAGCAGCATCAGCAGGAACCCGGAACCTGGAACTCGATACCCATCCCCTTGAAAGCGGATGTGCAACAGCAGTTTCGGGAATGGGATGGCAGCTAAGGATGCGAGTGGATGAGAAGTGGCCAAATGTCATTTGCAGTTTGACAAGCCCAGCCAGCCAGCCATGTCCCTGTGTGTTTGTGGTGGCACCATGGGACCCTCATAAATTTCGAATGCTAAAATTTAGAATTCTCATAAAAAATGAGATGTCCAAAGCGCCCAACTTTGAGCTGTTTTCGCTGCAGTTTCCGCAGTAAAATCACATTCCGCTGGGAAATGAATTTAAATTATTTTTATGCTGTCCGCTAATCAATTAAATTAGCTTTTTAAAGCGCGATGTGACGGAAAATTAGCTTTAAGCTGGCTTTGTTACAAATGCAGCTATTTACATTTACGTTTTTTGATGCTAAAGTAAATCCTACTAATTTATGCAAGCTCTTAATTTCCATAACAATGCACGTATAGCTGATACCAATTAGCCTGACATTCTTTAAACACTTAATAAATTTAAACAATTTTTTGGATTTTTTCAAACTCGAATTACGCCAGTCAGCGAATAGTTATGCATTTTCAAGCAACTAGATAATCGGCTTTAGTCCTGCAGAGTAAGAAACAAGTCCTTGAAGCTTTTGAGTGCCGTGTGCCACTGTTCAATTACTTCCGTTTCGCTTACCAAAATGTGGGATTGCTTTTCATGCCATGGCACTCGACTGCCAACTGCTGTCGCACTAATTTTATCAATTTTCCTGCAAACGGAGGGGGAAAACGTGGATAAAACGCAAAGTAATCGACTTAATCGGAATGCGGCAGTCTCTCTGGCTTATCCTTTTTTTTTTTTTTGACAGCAACTGCAATGTCCTTGACGTGAACTTCGCCGGCAATCGAGAGATCCTGAATGGGAGATTGGATATCCCTGCATATATGCAGGGATACAACTTGGCTTAAGCGATGATGACTTTGCCGCATCGTCTACGCCTCAGATAACCAAGTGACAAGTCCTTCAGCCTTTGGCAGCCGCCCCCGCAGCTGCTTTGATTTATTGTGCGGGGATTAAAGTTGTGAAAAGGCTGTGTCCTGGCGCCTGGCACGCGCTTATCGAGGATCCTTCTTCTGGCAAGAAACACTCTCTTTGTCTTTCCCTCTCGCTTTGAGTGGGTGAAATTTATTTATATGCAGTGACTTTGAAAAGAAACTTCGACCGTTGCCAGGCGGGCGAAACTTTCGACCTGCCAGCGCATCGATTATAAAACTTTTGGTCCTATCTCGTCTGCAGCTTCCTTCGCTGGAATTGGCGAAGTTGTTAAATAATTGCGTCGAGCGTTTACTGCCCTGTTGGCCCTGGCCCTGGCCCTGGTTCTGGTGTTGGTCCTGGCCCACGTTGCGTATGCGTCATATGCTCAATGCATGGCAGCGGGTATCTTAATCAGCGGGATTAGCCACAAAGTTTGTCCAGCAGCTTAGCGGCTGAGTTAATTGTGCGAATGTCAAGACAAATTGCGTTAATACAACGCAAGACTTCTGGCACAGAGCAGCTTCAGAACGGAATGGAATGGGAACAGGGAGCTGCAGCTGCCCCACACAATCGAGAGAAGGTCAGGGAGCTTATCCCGCCGCGTGAGTGCCGCAAAAGTTTTCAAAAAGTATTTTAAGCAAAATTTATGCAAACCACAAGGCAAACTGGCACTCTCCGAGTGCTTATTTATGCATGTGAGTGTGCGTGTGCGTGTGTGCCTAAGAGAGTGTGTCTGTGTGCGCGTGTGTGTGTGTGTGTGTGTGCCGGGGAGTGCTCTGCTAATCCCCGAGTAATCAAAGTTTCGGTAATGTCACCAGAGACAGGCAGCAGGCAAAGAAAAAAGCTGGAGAAAAACGTAGCCGGGAAAATTGGGAAAAACTGAAGGAAGGCACGGTGGCTACTCCACCTCCATCGCCGCTCCCCAATTTTCCCCATAAGATTGTGTGTTGGGAAAACACTTTTCCAATTAATGAAATCTCTAAACTGCCATAAATTTGGCCCGGACGCAAATAATTAAATTTCGTGGACCACACGAACACGCACAATAGGCTCACACAGACTGGCCCAACGACTTGTTGACTTCTGGCTGTATGTGTGTAGCTGCAGAAGTGTGCGTGTGTCTGACATTTCTGACCAATTGCGCGCTGACCGCAAATGTGGGCGGTTCATGTTCATGGCCAACATTGTGGCGACCAAATTGACAAGTCTTGCCAATGTGAAGGGAAAGCTTCTTTGTTAAAGAGGTCGAGGCGTTTAAAGGAATCACTCGTTTGTTAGCCAAAATGTGGAACTTAAAAACTAAGATTCGCATCGTTTCTCAGTAAAGTGCCAGCCCAATTATGACGTACTGAAAAGTATTATCAGCTAGCAAATTTGCGGTAATCAATATCTTCTAACTTCTAACTTCTTTTAGTAATGCACATTTTGTTCAATCCTGATATTTTTGTAATTTTCAAAAAGGTTTTATATATTTCAAAAAAGAGTATGTTTGCCAAACTTGAGCGTTTGAAAGAAACAAAAGATACTTCAAGAAGAATGAACACCACGTTGAACTAAGGATTTAGTTGTAGATTATATCGTTTGGGTATACCATCAAAGCGTAATGTTATGCTTAGATCATAAATCATAGATACTTTATGTCTTTAGCTCACCTGGCTGACACTGGCACTGTCCACCTCCACCTCCTCCTCCAGATCCTGCCTCTCCGCTGGCCGCTGCTGCCGCCGCCTCCGCTGCCTGGCGTCGCTGCTGGCGCCTCGTGAGCTGCAGATGCGAAACATCCCGTCGCAGGCGGTGCAGCTCCCGTCGCACGTGCAACTCGAGGTGCTTACTGCCGTTGCTGCTGTTGCTGTTGCCACTGTCTCTGTCGCCGGGATGAGTGGCCAAGACCTGGGTCTGTTCGGCGGGCCAGTGGAGCAGCTGCTGCTGCTCCAGTCGCAGCTCCAGCTCCACGATGCGGGCGTCCAGCTGTTGAAGGCGCTGCATCCGCTGCTCCAGCCGCGTCTGCCGCACATTGCCGTAAAGGGCGAAGCTGAAGGCGCACAGGCACAGCACGTAGCTGGCCACGTGCAGCAGGGATATGAAGCGGACTGTGGGGCGAGGTCGCTCCTTGCTGCTGCTGCTGCTGCTGCTGCAGCTGTTGTTGCTGTTGTTGCTGTTGTTGCTGTTGTTGCTGCTGTTGTTGTTGCTGCTGCTGCTGTTGTTAATGGGATGCTTACAGGGGGGCGGGGCCAGGCGACTAGCTACTGCTGCTGCGGAGGCATCCGCCGCATTGTGGCCCAGTAGCAGGCTCTGCTGTGGGGCTTCCACGGATGCTGTTGTTGATGTTGCTGCTGTTGCTGCTGCGGGGGATTCCCCGTTGCCACCCAATGGCTCCGACTGCGAGATGTCCTGGGCCATTGTCCTTGGACTGCCGCTGGGCGGCGCTTTGTGTTTGCGCATACTGCTGCGTCTTAGTTGGAAGGCTCTCCACGAACGAAAAACTCGCGTATGTTGCTGTCAGTTGAAGTGTCCTTGTGTCCTTGTGGCATCACAGAAAAAAAGCACAGCGATTGCACATATGCTGCACCGCAGTGGTTGCGCTTTTATTTTTTGTTTTCGTCTCTACTATTTCTTTTTCAACGTTTTTTTTTTTTTTTTGTTTGGGCAAGGCCTTCGAGTGATTTTCTATTCTTCGACTGCGGTAGTTGGCCAGCACATTGCGCCCCGTTGCTGCTGCAGTTTTCCGGGGGCCATGGAACGGAAAAACAACGCTAAACTTTTGCTGCTCGTGCCACTCGAGCGGGAAGTCCTCTCAGCTAGCAGGGCTTTGTTTTTGTCCTGTCAATCGCTGCTGTGGCAGCTGGTCCTCCCAGTCGTCGACAAGTCCTCGGTCCTGTTCCTCGGTTCGCACTTGTCCTTTCGGGGCTCTTCACATTGCAACTTATTTAGCTCTGCGTTCACTTTTCAACTGCAACGACATGGAATGAGAAGAAAAGTGAAAAATAAAGTTGGGCGAAACTTTTCTTAAGGGTGCGATACGATGCTACTATATATATACATTTTTTTTACCCCATGAATTATGTGCAAACTGGACCGTCAACGGTGTCGCCACATTTTCAATAATCAGCCAGGCTCGGCGGCCGGATGATGCCCCACCGTCGACTTGGCTTCACCGAAGTTCAACCACGCGAACCCGCCACGCAGCCAAGGCAACTGAGTTCAGTTCCAAGCACCTCGCAAGAATCGGGCAACCGAAACTTTTCGCACAAAACTTTTTTCTAGCTCAAGTAGCAGTAACAGCCACTGACAAAAAATACGACAAAAAAAAAAACGACGAGCATTAAAAAAGAAATACGCAAAGAACATGAAACAAATAAAAAACATCCGAAGCAGCAGCGACGGAGACGTGAAGAGGCATTTGACCCATGGACTTGTCGTGTCAAAAACATTTGTTGCCTTCAACTCTGCCCCACATGCCACCGCCAAAAGAAGGGGAAATTAGCGGGGCACGGGGGGCGTTTGGCAATACAAAAGTCATAAAGTGGAAATTATTGCGATGGGGCTTGCCGGAGGGGAAGACAACGAAACTGTAATGCTCTTTAGAGAAATGAAATGAGCTTGAGAACTTTTTAACAAGTTTTCCATATAAAGGAACAAAAAAAGCAACAGCTTTAAAAGTATGCCAAAGTTGACCAATATGGTAGCCCCTGGCAGAAGTTTTCGAAAAAGTTGAAAACTATAACTCAAGAATAATTAAAAGGAATTCTTAATGATACATAAGTGCTATTGCAGGGGCGGCATAATGAAGATCAGAAAGTCTATTTTAAACTCCATTTCTATCAATCGTATTTTCTCAGTACATATATGATCGATATACATAAGTATATGTAGTTATTGCGCAAATTCAAAATGACCGATTATAAAAACATATTTGAAGGAATTAAAGTTTCAAATATTTTTGCGGCCTAAATTGCTGATTTAACATTGCCACACCCACACAGTAGAGTCTTTCGCACATGCATACATATTTAATCATCTAATATTACGTATTTTCTGTGCGTTGGCATTGCGCAATCATGCGCTTAACAACCAAAACAACAATAAGAGGAGCCCAATAAAACTCAAAAAACAATCGTGCCATTGAAAAGGCCCCTCACCATCAACACCAAAAGGCAGGAGCCGCCGCAACCGCAAAAAGCGAAAATTGCGCCAAACCCGAAAAAAGCATAAAAGTCAAAAGGCCAATATCAAACAGAAGCACCATCGGCATCGGCATCGGCATCGGCATCGGCATTGGCATCGGGTCGAACACAACAATGGATATCCAAAGCCAGAGCCAGAGCCAACACCAACCACCTCCACCCGCCGAAAAACCCCTTGATTTCGAGTCAATGGAATGTTTGGAACACCCTAATAAAACTAATTGAAAGTCTTGTGCGCTCCGGAGCCAATAATGGCAAATGAAGACGACGATGATGAGAATGAGGATGAGGATGAGAATCATGATGAGGATGATGACGACGCCGCTGGCCGGGAAACAACAATAACGACTGCAAGGCGGTGGAGAAGCTTTTAATTTAACAAATAAGAGCATATATGGTTGTTCGTTGTTCGTTGTTCGTTCAGTGGCTGAGTTGAGCTGACTTTTCTAGCTGACACTGCAATTGGCTGGCTACTGAAATAACCCATTCCCTTGGCGGACGTCGAATACCCAGCATCTCTGCCATATCGATTTCGATTTTACACAATGTAGCTGGCAAAGGTTAATGCTATTCCGGCATTCCCGGACTGGGGACAGCTAACTCAATTTAAAATAAATTGATTTCAAATTTCGAGGAGCTCCATGGAGCGCAGCTTTGTCAATTACATGGGGAGTTTGAAGATTCGAATCGGTCAAGCAGCTCTAAAAAGTATGCTATGAATTTGTGCGTCCTGCCAAACCAAATTGAATTACACTGGTGTGTGTGCGGCCACTTAGCACACATACCGATAGGCGTGTGTGTGGATGAGTGCGTCCAGCTGGCAATTGAAAAATTTGATTTGGAATTGAAATGCAAATCAAGACGGAATTGAAATGGTTTTAGCCGGACTCCTAAAACGTAGTGGAATCCTGCCCAAGAGGCAAAAGCTTTCTAAGCCATCCAACAATGTTGAGTTAAGTGCCACACGTACGTGTGTGTTCGTGTGCCTGCATGTGTGTGGGTGTGGGTGTGTTGGTGTGGGTGTGTGTGATTTGTGTCCCTATCGGTGGGCGGGCAGCTACAGTCAATGGCTGTAAAAAGCTCAATTGCAATGCATTCAAAGGGATTATTGTCCTTATTTATATGGGTAAATTTATTCGTTACGCACAAATGCGCAAACCAAACCCAAATAACCCGAATAAGAACATGGCCACGGGTCCGGTTCGGTCGTGGCAAATAAAAACATGAAATGATGATGGCAAACAGCACACAAAGCAAAGAGCAAAGAGGGCCAAATCAAAGTAAATAAACAATAAAAATAATTGGGCCGTTAGCAACACATGTGCATTTTTCATCATCATCATCACCATCAGCATAGCCAACACCAACCCTAATATACATCGTCATCAACACGGTAGCCAACTTTAGAAGCATTACACTTGAAAAAAATAACATAACTTACTATGAAGCCTTCCACATTGTAATAACATTTCTAACTAATTTACTAAACATACTGCCTTTAACATTATCCTTCCTTTTCAAATTATTTTAGTCTGCATTTTCAGATTAAAAACATACAAATATCAAATAAGAAGTTATCAATTAAAAAGATACATCCCAAAAAGAACTTTTCAATGAAACAAATTCGGTTTTAAGTCCCTCTCATTTATCCGACATACCGCTTGTAGGAAATAGTTTAAGGTGTTCGCTGGAAATTTTATACTTTTCTTAAGGTGTAAGTTGTTCCTGCCGCCGGCAATATCAAAGAACTTTCTTGATGCCACTACAGAAGTAAGCAGCAGCAACAGCAACAACAATGGCGACAAGGAGCCCAACAACAAGAGGGAATCCCTGGCAGCTTCGTCTGGATTTTTGGGCGAGGCAATAAATAGTTGTCGTGCCATAAGGAAAATGCAAGAAGTGTTTAAGTTGCCTCGTTTCCCTTTCCCAGCTTTTCTTCACTTCTTTTTTTTTTTTTTTTGGCAGCCAGGACCCGTAACCCCCAACCCCTTGTTCAGCAGTGTGAAGCGTCATTTCCTCTCCCATCCTGGCTCCCTTTTTTTCCTGCTCCATCATTTAAATTGAAAAATATTGAGGAAGCTGAAGTAGGGAAGTTTCTTGAAGTTAACTGAAATAGGGCCAAGAAAGGACGACAATGTTGCAAGTAAAGTGGGTGGTGGATGGTGGGCGTTGGGCGTTGGGCGGTGATGGAATGAATTGGCAAACTTTCGATTTTGTGAGACAGCAACCATTGAAAGTGTTGAGCCATTTCGATTTTGATTAAGGGTCCGCTGGAAGGAACCTTAGAAAAAAGTTGCAGGCAAGCAAGCTGGCTGTTGGTTGGGAATTTGAATATCTTTAGCCGGGTATTTAAAAAGAATGAGTTGCCGTAAATGAACTTTCAACAACATAAGAAAGCAACCTATTTGCAGAAGACAAGATTACCCTAAACAAGACCATTAAATTCTATTTCCTAGAAATGAAATCCCGGAAAAGTTTGGAGCTGCGTAGATCCTCATAAAACAAGCATACTTTATAACATTTTACGCCCTGCCTATTGGTCCCATTCAACTGGTCCTTTGAGATATTCCTGCACTTTTTTATGTCAGCTCTCTAGTTTAGGATTAAACGATGCGAGTCACTGGATACACTGGGTATCTTGGTGTTAGCTTTAATGTCCGTAAAAAAATACTTATGTGTGCGTCGTTTACTATTTCCCTATAATTTTTACAGCTTGTTCTCATGTAGATGCGGTTGCTGCTACTCCAAACAGTTTGGGGATTTTCTTTTTATGTGCCTGCTTTTACAACAGGCAGCTTTTACACACAAACTATTAGTGCAATTCATTGGCAAGCCTTGTTGTTGCTATTGTTTATTTTACTGTTTGTGTTCTTGCCTCTTTGTGGGCGTTCCTGGCAACACAGATGGGCGTGGCCGCCTCGGAAAGCGAGTATGAGTATGTGTGTCCACATTTGGTAAAGATTTCCAGCTGAAGTCGCCCTTGGGAGAAATTACTTAATTTTGGAATTTCAATTTAGCACTTAGACAGGAAACATGGCACCAAGGAATGGACCCAGACGGAAGGCGAATACCAAGGGTGAGGGGTTTTGAGGACGTTACTCAAGAACTGAGACTGTAGTGGTGCGGTTTGGGAAGTGATTGTGTGTGTGTGTGTGTGTATGTCTGCTTGTAAAAACTCAGCTTACACATGCTGTGACTCTTAAAAATTTCCGGAATTTTGGCACGCAATGTTTACTTTTGTTTTCTTTGCTACCCGACAGCCTTTACTCCTTTTTTTTTGACTGCCCGCTCGCGCTGCAGGATTTTTTCCAACCTTCTATGCTTTCCATTGCACTGGTATTCCCTTCTTATGGCCACCATTCACTTAATTTGATTTCATTTGAGGCAGCAAGGTGCTTAACAACCTTAACAGGAATCGTAATTAACTCTTGGCCCACACATTCCTGTAAATGCTTCGTTTAACCAACTCCAATAAATGTCCCTTCGTGCACTGAAAAACTTCAGTGGTAATTTAAGTTTAAAAATAATTTTCTGTTAACATAAATTGTATAATTTGGACCCATACTTTCATCATATCACTTTACTCAATTAAATGCGTAAAACTCTTAAGTGAATCTTTTTTGTTAGTAAAAGGATTTCTAGATTTTCTTTTAATTATTTCGAGTATATCTGGACTCATTAAAAATTTGTAATTTCACATATCAACGTAATAATGAACCATTTTTGTTCGTGTATCTCTTTATATTTGCAGCTGGCACACAGGAAA